CTCACAAAACTATATTTTTTTTTCTATTTTTAGCCACTTACATTCGGTCAGACCGAATTTGGCCACGTTTGAGTCTACCCCTAGATTCCAAAAAAGTTTCTGATGAATAGTTTTATTCCCTGCAAGGAGGAAGTAATGAATTAACAAGAAGATATCCAGATAATGACGGTGTGGGTAAAGCTGAGAAAGTGATATCTGGATATAATATAAATCACTCTTTCAAATGTTTCAAAGAGCTTCTCAACTGATCAATAATTCTTGAAGAAATTCAAGGATAAAGTTTGCAAAATATTTTAAAGGACCAATGGGCTTTTTCGAAAATACCATAACACTCTTTAATCTGCGGGTTTAGCGGCTTGTTTACAGGAGAATCTTGCCTAGAGCCCCCTGTGCTAAGCATAGGGCCCTAGTTTAGAAGTCCACTTATATTTGTTGCAAATTACACCGACCATTGAAGGTACCTTAAATTACGGAAAAAGCTGTGTTCAAGTGAAAACAATACATCAACAAATGTCATTTGCACCCAAACGAGGCTAAGCCTGCATATTAAAGAGTATTATGGTATTTCTTGGAAAGGCCTAAAGGATCTGATAACCGAGTTAATGTCATAGTAACGATTTCCGTTGTGTTCTTTTCAAGAACACTTAGAGAGATTTGGAATCTAGTTTGCGTTAAAAGGCAAACGTCAATTTGTAACATGAAACCAAGTTTTTCCCCCACTTGTCGTTTACTACTTATTATATCTATACAAAAAAAGTTGGATTACGCCAGTTTTATCCATAAGAATGATTTTGGGCTTCCAGTTTTTATCTAATGTCAACTTACAGATGATGTTTGCCTTAAACGCAATTCTTATTTTCTCTGTGAAAGAGTTTGAGAAGAAAATTTCTTAAAACTTTAACTCACACTTAAAATACCAAGTCTATTGTATTTCCTTAAAAGCGTGGCTTTAAGGTATTCTTACTTAGAACCAAAACAATCCACAAATAATGAAAATGAATATACATTTCAAACACACAACTCCTAAACGGAAATTTTAAAGGAAGTGACATACTGTAGGATTTGAAAAAAATCTACTTTTCTGACTTTCTGTTAAGAATACCTTGCGTTATGCTATTAAAATATAAAAATTAATAGTTTAACTGATCGAGTTGAAGTCACAAAATTATTGGAAACGTAACTACCTTTTCATGCCATTGCTGACAGTGCCAAGGAATTTGATGATTTTTTTTTTGTATCTTCTATCCAGTCCCAGAGGGCTCTGGCCACTCTTGGAGCATTGAAACTGAAATATTTGTTAACTCGTTTTCAACGAGAGGTGTGATAAACATTTCTACAACAACTCCAAAAGCCCATTTAGGATCCGACAACAACAATATTTTTTTTTGCTTTATGAACCTTGTATCTTTTTTTCTGATGATCGAACAGTTCCTTCAACATTTTGTAGAACAGACGCATGTATAAGGTACAGAATTTAATCTAAATGACAAGTTTTAGAGTGCTTTGAAGTGTTGGCTTGCATTGGGACAATGTTGGTGTCAGTGGAATAGTATTAACGTGATAATTGATTCCAACATTTGCTTAACACCTGCTTAACGTTTTAATAGTTAACCCACATAAATGGGCCTAAAAATCAATATTTATCAGAAGTTTACACAAAACAAGTTAAATTTTGTGGATTCCTATTCAATGCAGGTCTTGTGCTGAATAAGTTAAAAATTTTATATTATTCAGTTTACCATGTGTATCTCCAAGGAACCAGCCACAAGCCTAAGTATTCTAGGTATTTTATATCAATCAGTTCTATGTTGAGATGAACACCTTAATTATCCTTAATTAATTGTCTAATGGTATAGATATAGCTGACCAGGTGAAAAAAGAATTGTGTAGGAATGAACTTAAACCAAACTCATAACTAAATATTATTACCCAGTAGTCTTATACACCTGGGAAAAAAACATAACCAGTTAAGAACACAACTGACTTGAAGCCAGTAAAATATAATTGTCACAACTAACCACCTTGAAACTGATTTTACTCTTTCTAGCAATTTAATAACAAAAATAATTTGATATTGCTGGAAAGCACCCATTAAAAGTACATGTTAAACATGTTAAACTAAGAAAAATCTGCGCAGAGAATCACATTGGTTCAACAACAAGATCCATCTGATTATGCAAGGGCTAAGTCACCAACATTTATTTATAGTCAAGTCTCTTTTATGTGAATAAGGAACATTTGGGAGCTTTGCTGAGTTTGTTTCTACTGTTTAGTACAGTTTTACAGTTTTCTTTAGTTTAACATTTTTAAAAATTTTGGTTAACTGAAGTTACCCTTTGCAGCAGCAACAATAATTATTGTTTTCCACATCAGTTTCCAAATTTAAGAGTTTTCAAAGTGGTTAGTTGATGGTCTAAAGCATATTTTATTACAACCCACATTGTAATAATTTCATTGTAGATCTACTTTGTAGGTCTATAATGTAGCTAGCAACCTGACATTTGTTATCCCTCATATACAAAACACCACTGGCCACAAACCTACATGCCCCGCCTAACAGCTGACACGTGCACAGCACTGGATATTGGATTTCTTAGCTTCTAATTTATTTCCATCATCGCCAGCTCCGGCCTTCCTCTTCGGCCTGCTGCCAGATGAGAGTACAGGCTCTGCAGGATTCACCATCTTGGCATTCTTCACCCTCTCATCCTTGATTAATGCATCTACATCTTCAGTGTTATCATCTGTGATTTCACCCTCAACATCCACATCTTCATCCTCATCATCAATGGCGACCTTATCTTTGCTTTCATGCCCAACATTCACTGCACCATTGCACAAAACATTAACCTGGCCACCTTCCACCTTGATGGCATTGACACTTGAACAATCTACATCAGACTCTTCACCGGAAGTGAAAGATGTCTGCGTTGCCACAGAAATAGGGGAGCATTGAATTTCAGAACTTTTCAAAAGGATCTGATAACCGAGTTAATGTCATAGTAACGATTTCCGTTGTGTTCTTTTCAAGAACACTTAGAGAGATTTGGAATCTAGTTTGCGTTAAAAGGCAAACGTCAATTTGTAACATGAAACCAAGTTTTTCGCTCACTTGTCGTTTACTACTTATTATATCTATACAAAAAAAGTTGGATTACGCCAGTTTTATCCATAAGAATGATTTTGGGCGTCCAGTTTTTATCTAATGTCAACTTACAGATGATGTTTGCCTTAAACGCAATTCTTATTTTCTCTATGAAAGAGTTTGAGAAGAAAATTTCTTAAAACTTTAACTCACACTTAAAATACCAAGTCTATTGTATTTCCTTAAAAGCGAGGCTTTAAGGTATTCTTAGAACCAAAACAATCCACAAATAATGAAAATGAATACATTTCAAACACACAACTCCTAAATAGAAATTTTTAAAGGAAGTGACATACTGTAGGATTTGAAAAAAATCTACTCACCTGACTTTCTGTTAAGAATACCTTGCGTTATGCTATTAAAATGTAAAAATTAATAGTTTAACTGATCGAGTTGAAGTCACAAAATTATTGGAAACGTAACTACTTTTTCATGCCATTGCTGACAGTGCCAAGGAATTTGATGATTATTTTCGTATCTTTTATCCAGTCCCAGAGGGCTCTGGCCACTCTTGGAGCATTGAAAAAATATTTGTTAACTCGTTTTCGACGAAATGTGTGAGAAATATTTCTACAACAACTCCAAAAGCCCATTTAGGATCCGACAACAACAATATTTTTTTGCTTTATGAACCTTATATCTTTTTTTTTCTGATGATTGAACAGTTCCTTCAACATTTTGTAGAACAGATGCATGTATAAGGTACAGAATTTAATCTAAGTGACAAGTTTTAGAGTGTTTTGAAGTGTTGGCTTGCATTGGGACAATGTTGGTGTCAGTGGAATAGTATTCACGTGATAATTGATTCCAACATTTGCTTAACATCTGCTCAACTTTTTACTATTTAACCCACATAAATGGGCCTCAAAATCAATATTTATCAGGAGTTTACACAAAACAAGTTAAAATTGTGGATTCCTATTCAATGCAGGTCTTGTGCTGAATAAGTTATATTATTATTCAATTTACCATGTGTATCTCCAAAGATCCAGCCACAAGCCTAAGGATTCTAGGTATCTTATATCAATCAGTTTTATGTTGAGCTGAACAACACCTTGATTATCCTTAATTAATTGTCTAATAGTATAGATATAGCTGACCAGGTGAAAAAAGAATTGTGTAGGAATGAACTTAAACCAAACTCATAACTAAAGATTATTACCCAGTAGTCTTATACACCTGGGAAAAAACATAACCGGTTAAGAACACAACTGACTTGAAGCCAGTAAAATATAATTGTCACAACTAACCACCTTGAAACTGATTTTACTCTTTCTAGCAATTTAAGAACAAAAATAAATTGATATTGCTGGAAAGCACCCATTGAAAGTACATGTTAAACATGTTAAACTAAGAAAGATCTGCGCAGAGAATCACACTGGTTCAACAACAAGATCCATCTGATTATGCAAGGACTAAGTCACCTACATTTATTTATAGTCAAGTCTCTTTTACGTGAATAACCACAAGGCCCTTGCTAGCGTCTATTCAATAAAGTGTCTGCAAAATATAAGCTTGTTTGACAGCTGCGAAGGAACATTTGGGAGCTCTGCTGAGTTTGTTTCTGCTGTTTAGTACAGTTTTACAGTTTTCTTTAGTTTAACATTTTTAAAAATTTTGGTTAACTGAAGTTACCCTTTGCAGCAGCAACAATAATTATCGTTTTCTACATCAGTTTCCAAATTTAAGAGTTTTCAAAGTGGTTAGTTGATGGTCTAAATAATATTTTATTACAACCCACATTGTAATAATTTCATTGTAGATCTACTTTGTAGGTCTATAACGTAGCTAGCAACCTGACATTTGTTATCCCTTATATACAAAACACCACTGGCCACAAACCTACATGCCCCGCCTAACAGCTGACACGTGCACAGCACTGGATATTGGACTTCTTAGCTTCTAATTTATTTCCATCATCGCCAGCTCCGGCCTTCCTCTTCGGCCTGCTGCCAGATGGGAGTACAGGCTCTGCAGGATTCACCATCTTGGCATTCTTCACCCTCTCATCCTTGATTAATGCATCCACATCTTCAGTGTTATCATCTGTGATTTCACCCTCAACATCCACATCTTCATCCTCATCATCAATGGCAACCTTATCTTTGCTTTCATGCCCAACATTCACTGCACCATTGCACAAAGCATTAACCTGGCCACCTTCCACCTTGATGGCATTGACACTTGAACAATCTACATCAGACTCTTCACCGGAAGTGAAAGATGTCTGCGTTGCCACAGAAATAGGGGAGCATTGAATTTCAGAACTTTTCAAATTTACAGAAGTCTTGGTGGAACTTGCTTCACTTACTACCTGGCATGTCTTGAGAATAACACCATTTTGAGCAGATTTCTGTGCGATTTCCAACTGAATGGTTATTTCCTTTCTAAGCACCAGAAGCTTCTGTTTGATAGTGTTGTTGNCATTAACCTGGCCACCTTCCACCTTGATGGCATTGACACTTGAACAATCTACATCAGACTCTTCACCGGAAGTGAAAGATGTCTGCGTTGCCACAGAAATAGGGGAGCATTGAATTTCAGAACTTTTCAAATTTACAGAAGTCTTGGTGGAACTTGCTTCACTTACTACCTGGCATGTCTTGAGAATAACACCATTTTGAGCAGATTTCTGTGCGATTTCCAACTGAATGGTTATTTCCTTTCTAAGCACCAGAAGCTTCTGTTTGATAGTGTTGTTGCTGATCTTCAGAAGGTCTCGCTCAGCTTCAAAATCACGTTCCCGTTTTTTCAATGCCTGAAAAAGAAAACAGACAGCATCTTAACCTTTGATAGACTGTAGCTCCTTAAGGCTGCGTCCACCTTTCATTTTCTGTCACCATCTTTTTCACAAAAGTGGATTGGCCTGGCTGCTAAAATAGGCCATTTCAATAAATTATCGTATTTTCCTGATATCTCTGATTATGGAAGTCTGTACAAGAAAATCATTTTTTCAAGAACATCAAACCTTTTCAAAAAGGTTTGGACATCTTCGAAAGTCTTATATGATGGGAAAAAAACCTAACACCCTCAGAATAAAAATCTCATGCAATAGGAGTTGGCCGGTAAGTTAAAGTGGCTAATGTTATTTGATCTCAGGTCTTAGAGTCATCAACCATAACAATTCAGCTGTGCCACAAAATTTGGAATGTTTTTTAATTTGGTAAAGTTCTTGTCATTAAGTTTTAAAGCTGCCATAGTGAATGTAGATTCACCCATAACAACTAGCCCTGTATCAAGTGAGCTCAGCCATAACAGGTGTTAAAACCTTAAAGACAGCTCTTTTCTCCCAAGGCCTGGCAATAGTCGGCTGCGGCAAAGTGATAATACAGGGAAGTAAAGCTGGAGTTCAAAATCGTGCTACAATCTCTGGCCAGGGATAGAAGTGACGATAGTGATAGTTTATCTGTTTTCCATGACCAGTTACTGGTAAATGGAAATTGACTGGAACTTCCTTGATGTTCTTCCTCTAGGAGATTAGTGTTGACTTGTCTTGCATTGTTAGGAGAACGTGAGCATAGCAACAAGCTGATGGGTTTTTTCTAAATCTGCAGGCTAGGTGATCCATGTCTTCAATCCAACTGACTATGTAGACATCCTCAATCTAGGTAGCCAAACACTGCACAAGATTTCACAGAAAACGCCATTTACTTAGAAGGGATGGCATCATTAACATAGCTATTGCTGGTCCAGGAGCCTATGAGGCACTTAACGTTCCATTACATGTTATGTGTTCATTTAGGGGTGTCTGTCACTCGTGTCTTCCTGACAACAACGTACAAAAAAAAGAAGCGCACTCCCTACCAAAGTTCTCACCCAGGCTCTCCCCTATTGGTGACATAAACCCTGGAATGAACCCTTACCAATTGGGACCAATCAGGTTGATGTGGTATGCTGTTAAATCAGCCGACTAAGGATGTACCTTCACTCTGAAATAAGGTTTCACATATATGTTCAAGCTGATTAGTCTAACAGTTTTATCTCTCTGTTGTTACATTTAAGGTTTTTCCATGTAGTCCCTCACTTGCAGCTATAGATCAGAGGTCATGTCTGCTCTCTTGCAGGTTAAATTCTTCTCCCTTCTTTCATGACCTTAATTGTAACAGATCCAGTTTTTTTCTGGTGGCACCCATGTAACTGTCTGTGTCTCAATTTCCACTCCTTGAGAAGTTGTTTGTTTCCCATTCATAAAACAGCTTGTGGAAATTCTGGTAGGCAAGTAAGTGAAACACACTGTCCAGGGTTGTTTCAGTGGAAAAGACAGAAGTCTTTAAAGCCAGTCCTGTTTCCTTTGTCCAAAAATCCCACACAGAATACATCTCCTGAAAAATTCCCACATAAAAACCTATGTTCTATTTCTCGTACCTCATTCTTGATACCAAATTCAGCCTTGTTTTGGCTATTTCTTATCTAACTTCAACAACAATATTGCAAGTCAATACCAGATACTAGTGAGAGACACCAAAGCCATATGCCTTCAGACTGAGCTTATTAAAATCACAGTGGCACTGGGGGTATGTAAACTGATAGACACTTTTAAAAATGAAAAAAAATGATTTTCTTTGGGAGATATTTTCTTTGACTTCCCCTATTTTTTAAGTCATTGTTTTGAAAGAAGCATATGTATTAAATCATATAGTCCTGAACAGAATATTTACTTAGGTTAGCAACGAACACTTGCTATTCTTAGATCAATGTGTACTCTCTTCTTAACCTTAAAGCACAGGACTTGCAATTCAGGGGCACTGAGTTCAAGTCTCGCCCTGACCATTAGCTGGATTTGTTCACACTAGTTCCAAGTTCAAATCCTTGACCACACTTATAAAAGCCAACTGGTTTGCCCCCAGCCAGCTGGGTTTCTTAACCCTTAAGTTATGCTTGCCAAGGTTAAATAATGGAATAGTGAGAGTGAGAGTGAGAGTGAGGGGAGGGGAGGGGGGGACAATGGGATGAACCCATTTAGCACATTTAGCAGATCAATGAATGATTTTCCAGTAATCGGAGACTTAGTTATGCGCACAGGATTATGGGATCGTCAGGGGGCAAAATTGCAAGTCGCTACAAAGAAATGTATGGCGTGGAGCTGTTTCTCCGTTTAAAATCAGTGTCTTTGGACAGAGAATGCCGCATTTTGCCGTGATTTTATGAGAAGCCGAGGTGACTAATGTTGGTGAGTTGATTGTAAGTATTTGTGGGATCAATGCGATGAAATCTATCGATAAACACTCCTTCTTGCGAAAGGTCGACTGTGAAATTTACTGAATAGTCTCGAAATATATAGTACTAACTTACCAGGTATAAATGAGCGGGGAATGTGGACTCATTTATTAAGCCTTTCCAGTTGTAAGTACATGTTCTGATATTTACAACGAGTGTAATTACGTTCGGCTTGGCGGCGATCACAACGCTGTGCCAGTTTGTGACAACGATCGAAGGTAAGCTTATGTATTGTCGAATTTGCTATGTACAGTGTTAACTTTAAAAGCAAAAACATCTTCCCCACATTGGTATATTGATTCCTTCTAGCCAAAAAAACACAAGCGAAATGTTTTGTCATGATCCAAAGGACCAATAAGTTCTAATGCCTTTTCTGATCATTTTGAGGGAAGATATAGAATCTCTGAATTTCGCACATCAACTTGGTATTTATTTACACACTCACTACTGTTGTATCGGAAATCTGACTCGTTCATACGATTTCTGCGTCATCTACTAATGGTTAAATACCATGTACTTTCCATGAAATATTTCGTAGATGTTACATTGTTTATACCAAAGTAAAGGAGGATTTTTATTTTTATGGACACGTCCTACGATTGTTGAGCGTCATAACCCGCACAGAGCTGATCGCGGCCGAGTGTAGTTACACTCGTTGTAAATATCACCACACGTAATTAAAACTAAAATGCTTAAATGAGCCAATCCCCCTTCATGTATACCTAAATTTGCACTAAATATTTCAAGACCTCTTCTTCATGTGGATCACTGTGTAAATTCAGTAGACATAAATTTCACACTCAACCTCACGCAAGGAGTGTTTATCGATAGAATTTATCGCATTAATCACACAGAAACTTGAAATTTCAACGCACTAACATTAGTCACCTCCGTTTCTCATAAAATCACGGCAAAGTACGGCATTCTATGTCCAAAGACACTGCTTTTAACGGAGAAACAACTCCATGCCATACAATTCTTTGTAGCGACTCGCAATGTTTGCCCCCTGGCGATCCCAAAATCCTGTGCGCAAAACATGAGTGTCCGATTACTGGAAAATCATTCATTACTTGGAAGGGATTTTTCACACAGTCCCAAGTTCTTTTGTCCCCCATTGTAGGTCAGATAATCAGTGAATATGTGAAGCATAATAAATGAGTCATCTTGGTTTAAAGTTCAGATTTCGTTGATAACCTACTTCTCATGTTGCATTACATGCACAGTTGTATTTGCGACACTAATAATTATTTGACTCTGTTTTGTCAAATTTAGATAATCAAAATCTTATATTCAAAATAAACTGCAACTTATTATAAAAACTTATTCAAACTAAGCTTATATGAAATGTAATTTTATTTCTGCATAAGCTTTACTCTAGCACTTCTCTTTCCAAATGGAACTTACTAGTATCATATTACAGCCTTCATGTAGTCACAAAATTGCACACAGCCTAGGATCTTGTTTTTGGTCAGATTGCACCACCTTGGTTTCTGACTCTTTATATATAAATACATACACTATTTATAAGATTTATTAACTGCAATGACAATCAATTTTACTTGCCAATTACACCATGACAACATCAAAATACTGGTCATTGATTTGTTGATAATTCTTCTTCCATGTTTCCTCAAGGCATGTTTAGATGTGATGTGGCTGATGACATGCCAGATAACAAAGTAACCTTATCCAGGGAATTAAACTGAACCATTAATGTGTCTTTCAAAAGTTAGACAAAAAAGTCCAGAGTGTGATGCATGTGATGCTTATGTAAACAAAATCAGCCATTATCACCAGGAATGATAATAAAAACAATATTTGTTATCTAAGAAAAATTCTCTCCTTGTACAAGCCTGGGACAGTCAAATGTACTAGTCTTTGTTATTACATTAATAAGCTTTTCCCAGGCTTGTACAAACAGCAAATGTGAAGGAATTTAATAACAGGAGGTAATTTAAGGAACTGCCTTTCTCTCACCAAAAGTTAAATCCACTTCAAAATCGCGAATCTAATTGGCTTCAATGTAAAATGCTATGAAATGGCTCTTGGCGCATCAGATGCGGTTTGGGGAATCAGCATTTTTAACCAAAAATAAAATGTACATAATTTTTTAGTCATCGAATACGAGAGCGTCACAAGGCACGCAAAACCTACTCGACCGTGAAAATCAAAACAGAAAAAAGCAAGCTCGTGACACTCGTAGGACCGGAATCAAAAGCTGACCACAACAAAAGACAGATATTTACCCTATAAGAAAATGTGGCAAACTATTGGAAAATAGCATGGTCCAAGGACGCCTTCGGCATTTAAGGTTCAATTGAGTGGGTGTAAAGTTGACCTTGAGCTGAATATTTTACCTGCACATAAACATGCAGAGAAAGCAGTTTTTGGTGATCAAAGACAAATACACCAATGTTCGCGGGATTTTTTGGTCCTTAGCTAGCTAGAAACTATCTTTTCCGAGTGGTAAATTTAAGTGTGTTTAAAAATCGAAGCAAAGGCAGAATATTTATCCCACGCGAAATCCAGCTTCAACTTAGGGTTGGTATGCCCGAACTTGTTCACATTCAAAACAATGGCTTTTCAAATTCAAATTAACCAAAATAAAGACCGGCCCGACACTTTCCACAAATCCCATATTTTCACTGTCAACTTCTACGTACACATAGAATCATGCTCACCTGAATGTGTTTCAGAGCACTTCTCAAGATGTTCAAGTTAGAAGTTTTTTTGTCCTCCAAGGAAGGAACTTCTCTCTTCAGAATATCGAAGCATTCTTTTAAGTGTGCGCGTCTGAAAGTGCAAATACAAATAAGCAATTATGAATTCACCGTCCGTTCAACCGCTCGAGCCACCGTAGCTCCCGATCCTATATCCGTACTTTCTGTACATAATTTCTTAGCTCGAGCGAGATCACGATCTCTAACAAACCCTCGCACCCCTAAAAACTAAATTTTGAATTTTCTTCGAAAACGGAAGAATAAAAGACTGAAAGTTAAAGTTTCAAGGCACTCAAAATTTGTGTTGAAGGCGCGGACAAGCTAACAGAACGGCCATGTTCAACAAGGACATCCTTAGCGTGCGCATATCTTTCTGGAGACTTGCTTAACTGAAAATCGATACTAAAAGATTATTAGTCATGCTGACCTGTTCTTTTCTAGTTTGTTGTGTGTTTCTCTCGTCCCTGCCCTGTCCAACAAAACAGATGTCGTGAACAAGTTAGTCTTTGCCGGCAAGAGCAAACAACCGCGCTTAGTCTCTCAATTCCACGAACGACAACATAACTTACCCGCCAGGTCTGCGTCGCCTCTCAAAGGCCTCGCATTCTGAAATCGCTCGTCTTCTTTCCGTGTGGACCGAGGAAGAGTGATGAACTGAAATACGAAAAAAATCGAGGCTAATTTTTGGCGAAACAAATTTCGTGATTTCGACACAACTTCAAAACAGCTAACAGCTCCAAGAGAATATTTGCACATGGCTACTAGATCATACCACGTGCGATCGCCGAATCATCTTTAGAAGTTAGCCTAGACGAGGATTCTAAATACTTAGCAGCTTCTAGCAGCGTGTCCAAACTCATCACGGCAAGAACAAATAATCGGTGATTTTGTCCCTTAAAATTTCAGACCGCGTAGACCGTATCACTCCATGTGCACTCACGACTAAACACAACACGAGCGGACAAAAGATCTCGGAGTGTTGGAACGTAAAATTTGGAGCATTGATTGACAGTTCAATTGAAGTAATCCAATCGGAAGCCTCAACAGCCGACCCACGTGGCCTGGCTTGAAAAGCCATGTGTCTGTGTGCCTCGATCTCATGGCCCAAGTGTACACAAACACACCCAGTTTTATATTGCTCATCGAAGCGTTCGATCCAACCAAGTCCCGTAAAAGAATTTTTAAAAACGGAGAAGATAGTTAAAAATACGACCACAGTTGAGCCTCGAAAATTCGGTAACATTCTGGGGTGGTCGCATTTTCAAGATTTTCAATAAAAGAAAGTAACTCTTACTGGCTATACGTGATCCCTTTACTATATTTCTCGCAGATCATCAAGTTTTAAAGCTTGTTTCTTTTTTTTTTCATTTTCTTTTCTTTTTATTCTAGAAAGAGAATAACAGGCTATGATAAAGTATCATCTCGCGTTTGTAACCGGCTTACGTGGACAGCTGTATGCTACACAGATTATGCGTGATCATTTTCAGCATCAAGTTTAATACAAAGACCACCCTGACCCTGCCTGTAAGAAACGTAGTCTTTTTTTTATAATGGACTTTCAAAAGATGCTGCCATCTGATCTGACTCGGAAGCTAAAAGGTGCACATAATATTCCAATTCCTACACCACTAATAACCGGTTTCTTGCCTTTTTTATGAAAAGGACCCCCTTTTTTCCCCTTCCCGTTTTCCTCCACCCCTCCCCGCTTCTCTTTTTGCGTGCCACCAAGGTGAAATATCCAAGTCCCCTCCTGGTCCAGTCCCCTCCTGTCAAATCACCCGGGCTCAGCCGGCGTGGATCCCAAGCTAATCCAATTTTTACAACATAACATGGCGGTCGGCTGAGTAAAGTACATTTTCTCTGCCAGTGAGCTCCAATGTAAGCCAGGAACCGACAGGAATCCTTTCTATAACCTTTCTGGAACAGGCTGATGAATTGGAAGCGTTTACAGCACTGGTTTTGTTGAGGAAAGGTATTTTGAAACTTGTAAAATCTTGATTACGTGTCTCATGCAGTCATTACCATAAATGCGTGATCTAAATTTCCATTCACAGCACAGCATAACACCTGCCAATTTCATTTGTTTCTTTTGTTGCAGTTTTCCTTTCAACGTAGGCAGAAAACTCTGAAAATATGATTGAATGCAAGTGTTGCAAGAATTTGTTCGGTTTCGCCGCTTCTCGTCCACCATGTTTTGTATTCACGGTTTGTCTAGCGGCTTTCGCAATTGGTTTGTTTTCACTTGGCTATTTCGTTCAGGTGTATGGCTGGTTTGACGACGTGAACGACATTCAAAACAAGGTAGTTATTTACTTGAAGTCAGTCATTTTTAGCTTCGTTTTCGTTGTGCGAAAAGTGCTTGTTTTACGATTATCATCCTTCATTCCAACTTGATGTTTTTTCAAAGCTTTCAAAGCTTTA